GGTATGGGGATTGAACTCGGGTCCTTGCAGGCCACCGAACCGCTGAGCTAAATCCTTGGCCCTTACTGTGATACATTTTTAAAATTCAGGCATTCACCATAGTTTTCAGTCACCCTTGTTTACCCAGCAGCCTGCACTTGTACGGTTGTGGACAAACTAGTCAAATCCTCCTTACAGTACTTCAAAACTGATGATGCACGTGCAAATGTATTTCTTTGGGGGTTTTTTAGAGACAAGTTCTTGCTAGATAGTTCAGAAGGGGCTGGAAATCTTCATAGTTCAGGCTGGCCTCAAAGTCAAACTTGCTGCAATCCTCCTGGGTCAGCCTCCTGAGCCCTGGGATTACAGGGAGGGAGCGCCGCCATGCCCAGGAGACACATATGGATGTAACCCATTCCCCTATTAAAATGTACTGCAGGAACTGTGGGACACTCAATTCACACCCGTGACAGCTGCACTCCTGTACAGCACTGGCGCTGTGGCAGCTGTGTCTTTGATGAAATGTGCACATTTCCTCGTGGCCAAGACGACACTGCCTACCCTCCTACATCACCCGAGCTGGGGAGTGGTCTGGACCCACGCAAATGATATTTTGGGGGATTTGATTTTTAAGACTTATATTAACATTTATTATTAAATAATATTGTCTACTCATATTCATGTTTATTTTTAAATTTCCTAGAAATTGTCTTGCTCATGCTGATTTGTCATCTGTATAAGATTTGTTTATAAAATTTGCAAATGAATCCATGGAAACATACCACCAGAAAGAGTTACAGAATCTAGCTTTCATTTTTCTCTTTTAAGTATTGCTGACTCTGTCAGTGACCTCTTTAGGGGGCAGACATCAGCACAGCCCTGCAGGCTGGACAGGTGAACTCTGCCAACGAAAAGTATGACAGGGCCGGAGGGTCAGGGGCGAAGCACTAGTCCAGCCTCTGCACATCCCTGGGTTCAGTCTCTCGCAGGAAACACAAACAGAACAAAGGTGGATGAAATAAAAGATGGGCACCTTCTAATGAGAAAGATAATTGTTTCAAAAATAAATCATAGCCAGGCAGGGTGGTGCACACCTGTAAAGCCAGCACTCAGGAACCTGAAGCAGGAGGATCAGCGAGCGTTTGAGGCCAGCCTGGGCTACATAGTGAGTGCAAGATCAGCCTGAACTACATAGGGAGAACCTGTTTCCCCCACTCCTTCCCAAAAGGTAGGTCTCTTTTCTGAGGGATAACTTTGGGGAGAAAAATTCCCATCTTCAACTATTTATTAATTTAATATTTCTTTCTTTTTTTTCTTGAGTTAAAGTCTCACCATGTTAGCCTTCAAGTTGTAATCCCCTGCCTCAGCCTCCTGAGTGCTGGATTTACAGGTGTGCACTACCATGCCAAGTAGTGTCTTTTGAAAACCTTCAGCGCCCAAACCTCCTTCAGAGAACATGGCTGAGGCCAGAGGAACCCTTGTAGTGGCTTCTTGACCATGTTCTCTGGCTTCTACGATCCAGACCTCAGTTTCTCTCAGGGAAACTGATCCACCTTGATTTCTGCCCACATCATTTGAGAGGGACTGGCAAGGACAGGGACTGCTGGGATCTGAGCAAGGGACACGGCGCTCCTCCCTGCACAGCCTACACAGATCTTGTCCCCGGTGCGTGTCAGCTCAGTGGCGTCCGTGTGTGACCTGCCGTGTGGTGCCGTTCTGGCTGGCACAGTAGCGGAGGGACACTTTGGGGACCTCCAGGGCAGGACTGGGTTCGGAAAGACCCACGGTGTCCCATGTGCTTTACCTCCTGGACCTTTGTTTAGACGACAGACCCACTGCAAATTACCTGAGCTTAGAATCTACCAGTGCCTCAGGTCCAAGGCCCAACTTCAGGCAGTAAAGGTGAAGCTGGGCTGGGCTCCCAGCGAGTCTGCGGTCACCTGCGGCCCAGGTAGGTGTAAGACCTGAATTACAAGCCCATGCTAAAAGACAAAGGGCCTAGGAGACAGTGCTCTAAACCCCTCCCATTGTAGCCATAGCCCCGACCTTTGTTCTAACCCTGGCTTAGGACTGTAGGCAATCTTATACTGTTTAAAGTCCGGATGCTGATTAATGTGTAAGTTAGTGGCTCTAGAATATGAGATAAAATCTGTACTGTACATAGAGACCCCAAATTAATTGTTGAACTGTTTGCTCATCCTGAATGTTTTGGTGACCTTTGAAACATCCTATGGTATCTGTTAATCATCAATGTGTGACTGCCATGTATGTGACTGCTGACCACCAGCTCAAATCAGCAGACCTCTGTCCCCTGCCTGCAATCTTAGACTGTTAACCCACCTTTTTTATCCCCCTAAAAAGGACCTCAGCCCCTGAGCTGGCACCTCTCTGAGCCAGCTACTGGGTTCTGAGAGTGTCATCTAGCCAGACTAATAAAGGTCTGTTTACCATCTGGCCTGGTGTGTTCCCTCCTGGGTTTCTCACTGTTTGTCAGCATCGTGGAGGCCTTTTTGGCTGGTCACGCTCCGCAGAGTGGGAGTGAGACTTTGGGCCTTACACAGGCTGGAGGGCAGCAGGGGCCTGGGCGGCTCCTCTCCTGGTGACAGCACAGGCCCCAGGAAGCAAGTCCCAGCGCACAGCCATCCAGCCTGCAGGCACATCCTCTTCCCACTCACAGGCTGCGGTTACCCTTCCGTTATGGGCAGGAGGCAGAGGAGAAAGGGAAAGAATTTTGCTATTCCTCGGGACAGGGTCTCATCACATAGTTCAAACTGGTCTTCACTCACGATGTACCTACCTCAGGCTGGCCTCAAACTCAAGGCGATCCTCCTGCCTCAACCTCCTGAGCGCTGGGACTACCGGCGCGTGCCATCATGCCTGAGCGCGAGTAGTTTTGTGCAAACATTTAAGCCATCTCAGCAATTCCACCTAAATACTGCATCCTAAAGCAGCCCCGACTTTAAAATGTTGTATATAAAGAAAAAATTCAATTTGGCCTTATTTACCTTAAATAATAAAGTCCATTATAATATAATATAAAGCTCATTAGAATAATGCCCAGGCCTCTAATACTAACTTCATTATAATTTAACCAAGTGTGCTCATGTCTGAGGGTTTACATTGGAGGTTTGTATACCTTTGCAAGAACTGTCCCTTTATTTGAAACTGTTTGTTTTATTTGAAATTGGCTGTTTAAAATGAAGAAATGGAAATAAAATGTTTGTAAATGGGAAGGGGAGGAGGGGGTGAAGGGAGGGCAGGGACAAGGGGAAAAATGCGAACCAAGACCTGTCATGTAAAGGTACAAGATCCCAATGATGAATGTAACTGTACTGTATACCTGAAATGTACCAATAAAATCAATGAGACAAAAAAAATTGGCTGTTTACATAGATTATATTAACTACAAATTTCACTTCAAGGGAGCCAAGGAGGCTTGCAAAGTACTTTTAATGAAGAGGGCCCTGAGTCGGTCAGGTCACCCCGTGTCACGCTGTTTTGGGGGCAGAGGAGCTGGGCTGGAGCCCCCTTCACCCCCGCACCTGCTGTTCCCTGCGCGAACCACGTGACCTCAGGAAGAAGTCCAAGGCCCTGAACCTCTGTTGGGGACTCTGTGGGGTAAGCACAGGAATCTCTTCCCGGGTTGCTCTGGGAGTTA